AATATTGGAATGCTACACAAAGATAACTAATATGTTAGCACTTGTAAAACTACTTAAACAGCTGTTTCTTTCTTGAGTGATCAATCCATCTATAATATTTATCAGTTATACACTGATATGATATATTTTAGCGATTTTACTTGCAATATTGTATAGCTATTCACATATAATAATTACATATATATTCTACATATCAATTAAATTTTTAATAGTAAAAATGTTATTAATTTTCTAGAAGTTTTCTTTTTACAAAGTAGCATATAATTCTGCGATTCAAAAATTCTATCGTATTACAAATCTCTTTAAACTTAATCTTGTGCATATGTTGTTACCATTGTTTCTGCACAGAGAATTTTTACAGGTCTATTTTTTTTTTAATTGGACTAGATTATACTTTTGCCCTTACAATGAAACAAGTATTTAAGCAAGCATTAAAAAAAAAGAGCAAAGCTTCTTTGCAATGCTAATATAACTGAGAAAACTAGCTTTATATTTAATGTTACAACTAAAATCATCAGGTTTGTACAGAAGAGTAAGATATTTAGATATTTCAGCTCAATATATAACGTTCTGCCACAGGAACAATAAAGAGTCACGAGATTTTATTTGACGAATTTTACCTGCTGGACGGTCTGCTTTCTTCTACGTCCTTAGTAGATTTTGTCTCACGCTCATCCTTGGGCATTTTATGCTGCGTTATCCTCATTCCACCTGCCTTCACTGAAAAAGCAAAACAGTACATGCAACGCAAGTATTAAAATGATTAGAAATCATTTAAACAGAAGGTTGACCTTGAAGTCACAATCGACATGTGCATATCGCGAATTTTATTATCGCAAATACATTATATTCCTACATTGTTCCTTCGCGTGTTTTCTGAGGAAAGAGAACTATCAGAATAAAATTACTAACCCGCTGGCGGATGTCCACCTTTCAACTTGCACTCGTCCATCTCGTCCGACATATCTGTTATCTTTTATGTCTACTGAAACGTGTCACACTTGACGCAGTTTCTGTACAACGTGTCGCAATATGCTCACTCCTTTCGCTTTGCTATTTGTCACTGATGTTGCGCATACTAGTGGTTCACGATTCTGACTCGATTATTTCAGAATCGATTATATTTTTTGTGAAATAATCGATTTTTATGAATTGGTGCTGGGAAAGTGCTCCGGAGCCGCCTGGAACCATTCTGAGAGAGAGAGAGAGAGAGAGAGAGAGAAAGAGAGAGAATCGATTTTTGATGAATCGATACGTTATAACACAAAAACGATATTAATAAAACTAAAACTAGAGAGCCTCTAGTTACTGCGTTCCAAATTTGTATTCAACGGGTACAATAATATTTAATTGACCAATTGACTAAAAGAGTTAAAGTCCGTGGGACGTCGTTAATACATGATTGTTTTTTTATAAATTTAATAAAATCTAATAATATATTAGAAATGTTGCATTTTGATTGCTTAATTCTTAGTATGTTACTAAATCTTATTATGACTTCTGCTCACAGGACGTGGCAACGCTTGCCACGCGGCGGAAGGTCGCGCGATAGCCAATCAACGTGTCGTTCTTTTAGTAAAAAGTAGAAATTTATTGGCTACTGCGCGAACTTCTGCTGCACGGCAAGTGTTGTCGCGTTCTGTCATAGAGATATAAGAATAGAGGGAACAAGCCTGTAAGTGGAAGTCATAGAGGCAAAGAGAGAGATGGATGCCGAGTGTCCTATCTGTCTCTTTCTAGTCACGCGCTGGGATTGGCTGCCGCGCCAACGACGATGTAGCTATACATTTTTCTCCATCCAATTCAAAGAAACTGTTGCTAAAATGATCACTGCAAATATATGCTGTTTTCACTTCAAAATACAAAGGTAGTTGAAGTATATTCAACCATTTACGCCTTATATCTACATCTTTCGGTAGCCTACAACATTTACATATTTTTTTAAATGTAGGAAAAATAACATATAATTATTTGAGGTTACGTATTTGTACTTTCTTACGAGTGAAAACTGCAGTTACATCCAGGATAAGACTCCGCCTTGCATTTCAAACAATGCCTCATTTTTAAACATATCGCGTCCAATTATTATTTTGTTAACGTTCGAATGTTTAACGAATTTTAATTCTACACACATGTGCACGCATATTTACAAAACGAAATTTTAGTCTGCTTTCTCCCCTCCTGACGTCGGGTGGTCGCCTTGGTGGCTCATTGTAACAACCAATCACAGCGCTCGACTAGAAAGAGACAGATAGGACACTCGGCATCCATCTCTCTCTTGGCCTCTATCACTTCCACTTACAGGTAGCATATATCCCTTGTTCCCTCTATTCTTATATCTCTATGCGTTCTGTAGACAGAAGCCATATTGGTCCACAATAGGTATTTTTAAGACATAAACTTTAAAAAATTTACCAATTATAGTCAAATATGAGGAGAATAATTAACTATGATTGGTCAATTTCTTAAGGCTCATAATACTTATTGTGGACCAACCCTAATTTAACCGTTCTATATAACTAGTTGCGCACAGCAACTGCGGGTTGTGTTAATCTTGACCATTCTTTAATTCAAGTTGCAAGCAAAATTGCTCAATTTGTTTACATCTTTTAGCATCCCAATTTAAATGACTGCCGACAGATTGAAGCCTAATCGAATGCAGAAGCCTCAAGTACAAACTCGACTCTTTCGGTGAGTAAAAAGTAACGCGTTTGATGTAGCTTGGTGTTGGAGACTTTTAGGCCGTCCATAATCATAATTGAAAAGAAGAAGAAATATGTTTGATGAGTTAAAAGGTTAGACAAGTTAGACAAGTTTAATTAATTGATGTAGTACTTTCAATAAATGTAATTAAATGTGTATTAATAATATCTAGATATTATAATGATTGCTGTAAAAACTAATTGGTCAAATTAATTTATTAATCGAGTTGTAGATAGATAATGCAAATGTGAGAACAATAAGTTTTTTTTGCAATAACTGTATCTCAAATAGTTTTTGAAAACTCTTCATTCTCTGATGATGGAAACGAGAATTTTGTATCAATATTACTTGTAAATTAATATAAGGAACTTTTATTATTTAAAATTGTTATATAGTTAACAATTGCTAAATTTTTCGTATAATTTGTATGATATGAAGACTGTAACAACTGTCCACGTTTCATTTATAAGGTCAATTTCAATTAATAACATTTTTTAAAAATATATTGTTTAGTATTTTTTTCCAGACTTAAACAAATATTTATGGTTGCCTTGGTGTCGGTCTACAATAAATATTTTAAACCTTAAGCCTTAAGAAATTGACCAATCGCAGTCGAATGTGAAGTGAATAATTAACTATAATTCATAAGCAATTCATAAGTGATTCATAAAATCAATTTCTTAAGGCTTAAAATACGTATTGTGGATCGGCACTTACGCTTCTTCAATAACACTGAAGAATTAATATTGAGGTCCAATTTCGAACATGTGACAATCCGATAGCCAATAGGAGAATGTGATTTCCAGGAACATTATTCCTAGCTAGTAACTTTAAAAAGTGAAACCTTGATGCATCCATAAGATTCATTCAGTGACATCTGTTGCAAATAAAAGGACGTATTCCTTCTGACGCGGGCTTAAGATTTTTTTTATTATGATTGGTTAATAAATGCTACACTACTATTTCAGTATGTTTTTTGAATTAAGTTCTATAGTAGCATTTTTAATTTGTTGACTCAGCTCGAATCGAGCAACATTGCAGTATATAATGGCTGCATTCCAATATTCACTGCCAGTATTGAAAATTTATACTGTTAGTATTAATAATTTATATTATATTATTTTTTTATATTTATATTATATTTATATATTTATATATTTTATATATTTATATTATATTTATGTACTACTATGTATCATGTTACGTATACTATATACATACTTATACTATATACATATTTATACTATATATATTTTTAATACTAGCAGTGAATATCGGAATACAATTAATATTGCAAACTATAGTATATACATAAAAGCATTCTGCAATTTCCCATCGCCAGTTGCGAAAGATAATGTTACGTTCCAGCTAGTCGTGGCTGCAAGGAGTTACTGCGGAGCTCGAACTGCGGTACGAGATTGGATCGCTTTTTTGGGGTCAAACGAACGTGATTCTCCTCGGGAATACGCGCGATCAGCTGTGTCGCGATGGATTGCATAAGGGTGAGAATAATTAAGAAGGTTAATCGTGTACTTATCGGAGGGCTCCTTCGTTCCTGTCCTTACGTTCCGCAGCCCAGTGGTCGGGGAAAGCGCCTCCGTAATGATGATATAGAATGTCTGCTCGAACCTCCAGATTGCGGGTATGACGAGAATCTCCCTCTTGTATATATCGGAAAGCGGCAGAAATTCGATGCTCAGCGGAATTAATTGATATTTTTTATTATCAGTGTTAATTTCACGATTCTTACTCGCGTCATTCGGAAATGCCGGATTCCCGTAATCCGCCCGGACGAGCCCTAGAAGTTCGAAATTAGCGGGCTAATGCAAGAATTACGTGTAGATTCGTTTAGCCTGATTTTTACGACCCGCACGGCGTGTTTTAGGCATAGGGAGCTTACGGAAAGGATATCTTAAATTTAAGGAGGATTTTTCTATTCGATCTTTTAATAAATCTACGTGCGGAGTATCCTCACTGCAAATTTATTGCAGGAGTAGAGCGTTTTCTCTTCCGTAATGTCGATCGAGAAAAATGAGTGGTTGTTCCTGCGGCATCAATAGAATTACTTGCGAGATATCCTCATTGCAACTTAAGTGAATGCAACAGGTACCTTTAGGATTTACGGAAAAGAAGGCGGAGATTGTGAGTTCTAAGTAAAAAGTGAGATAGAGATTCTTTACGTTAACATTTACGTTTATTCTAATACTAAATTATTACAAGAAATGTCTTAAAATGTTGAAATAGAAAAGTATCGAGTTAAACTAAGAGTAATTTATACGAAGTCAAAATAGTATAAAATGAGGTTGAAAAATATTAAGAAGAATTAAAAATAGACTAAATAAATTTAAGATTTGGAAGAGCTCTTCAGCTCATGCTGAAGGCTGGGAAGTGTATTGTCGACCGACCTACTCGAATGATTGCGAACGACTACGACTGACTGCCCGAGCCCTGTGGACTCTTTCTTAAGATGGGTTTTCCCGGACGATAGGGCCCTCTATTGGACAAGGGAACAAGGTAAATGGGGCATTTCTTATAGGGTGCGTTCGAGGAGACGCTATTTAGCGTTACCGTGTCATTTTACCTTTACTCTACATGTACAATAATGATAGAATGACGCGAAGCTCTAAATATCGTCTCTTCGAACGCACCTGCAGGGATATTATCCCTCTGGATGGAACTATGGGAAAGAAGGAAATCACTATATGATGGGGACAGTCGATAGGACGTGACAATAGGTCTGTTTTTTTTTCGAAACACTTTCTGAACTAGTGCACACCAGTGCAAGGAGTTTACACTAAAACATCCTTTTTATTGAGAATTACGTCATCATGACGTCATCAACGCTATTCGTTTTCGCAATGCAACAGCATGTAGTGCAGGCAGTTCAGTGAACTGTTGCACTGCGTCAGGAAGTAGTAGGTCTGTTTTTTTTTTCGTTACACTAAACTGCACTAGAACTGCACTGAACTGAACTGAACCGCGCTGGGAAAGACTAGTACAGAATAGTTCAATTCAGTGCAAAAGTGCAATGAAGAGGTCTGTTCGTTTTTACTGCACCGCTGAAACACCAGAGTGTAGTAAACAACATGGCGCATCACATGGAATTATTTGATTCTTCTGACAAAGAGGATTTTGTTGTAATACAACCACTATTACAACCCATTGTAGATGAAAACGATGAATGTAATATACAACTAAATATAGCAAATGTATTAATAATTAATAATATTATATACCTTATCGACCATAAATTTAAATAAATGATTAAATATAAAATAAATATAAAATCATAAAAATATCTTGACATCTTAAATTCATCCTTGTGGGTCATCCATGTTTCAACATTTCTGCTGTGTATGTGTGTGTGATGATATAATAATAACAATTTTTGAAAATGAAATAAAGAAGATGTTTCACACATTTCAATATAATGCAAGCTACATACTTGATAGAGACTTTTCGTATAAATTTCCATTACGCTTACGTGCACTTCCAAGCTACACTTTTATG